AAATTCGTCATGTGATGTTCATGGTCCTACGTGGTCTAGCCCTTATTCTTTTCCACCTGCATCCCATGCCACTCCTGTCCCCTGGCTCACCAGCGTCCAGCCACACTAGGCTTCTCTTCCTCCCTCCCTACACGACAGAGGACTTCACACTTGCCGCTCCCTGTGCCTGGAGTGCTGGTCCCCTCTCTTCACCTGGTAGCACCTGGTCATCACAGAGGTCTCAGTTTCAATGTTACTTTCTCAGAGAGATCTTCTGACCCACCAAACAAAATCAGTTTCTATCACTTTCACCTCTCAGCAAACTCTTCATTAAAAATCAATTTATACTACTGTGTTATCTGTGTGATATTTATTTAGCACCAGCCGTCTCCATTAGTCTGTAAGTCTAATGAAACCAGGAACCATGTCCATTTGACTCAGTGCTGGTTTCCATGTCTAGTTCAGTGTTTGGCATGTAGTAGCTACTCAATAAACATTTGTGGGCCAAGTAAATAAATGACTCCATGTTGGTGGTACATAGTTTCTTTTACATGCATGGTTCTCTATTAGGGAATAATCAAAATCTATATAGATTTTTCTTCATTTCCTTGGGACATACATGTAGAAATGACCTTTTGATACTTTAATGATTTAAGCAAGTTTTACAAAATTATCAGGAGAAAAGTTCAGAAACTTAGATTACCCAGGGAAATGGAGGAATCTCCTGCATTTGAGGTTTAATCAGAGGATGGCTCAGTTAAATTTGAGCTCTGTTGCTGTGTGTAGGTTGTGAGGTATAGACGAGATCATTCTGTAGAACCATGAAGGTAATACCTGTCTTTCTGTTTGTATGTTTGATTCTTTGTCTAGAACTTAACTCTTTGCTCGTGTCCAAATAAGAAAATTACTTTGGAGTTCCACTCTTGATTTGGACTTCCTTTTCTTCACCATGATGTCCATAACTTGTATGTTCCTGAAAATTACTGCACTCTGTAAAACCACACAGTGGAAACCACAAGGCTTATGGGGGAAACAGGACTATGGGAACAATACTCAAAACTTTGTCAGTGACACACTAAAAACAAAAAGGTAGGAACTTAATGCAATTGGTAGCCGTGTGTTCAATGGTTAAAAAATACATAAATACTACAATAAATATGGTGCTTTACCGTGAAAGAGTTTTTTGGTGGAAGTTGGATATCAACAGGGATGCAGTTCAGAAGCTACTGTGAAGTGGTGGAGGGAACGCTGTCTGAAATTGGAGGGAAAGTTGTAACACCACATGTGGATGGTTATGGCTCTTAATGCACATGGTGGACTGAGGTCTATTTGAAATATGTGTGTTTTGTGTGTTTTGATGCAGTTCAGCTGTGTGCAGTTTTCTGTGTTCCCCTAATTTTTCTCATGAATGAAATCAGGCAGTCAGCAAACCTAAGATTTGTGTCATGCTCAAATTTTTTCATATCATATCAGTTACATTGGAATAAATTAGCACTTTTAAAAGAAATGTTATAGCAGAACTGACAGTAGTAGGAGAAAAAAGTGGAGACTTAGGGTCAGAAAAATTCAGTTCTAGCTCCAGAGCTGCCATTTCTAACCATGGAAACAGAGCAAGCTCCCTGCCTCTCTTTTTGGCCCCTATCCTTATCTTTAGATGGTGGTGATAATAACCAATATTGCTGAATTGTTCTGGAGACTGAATACAGTAATGAAGGTGGACACATTCTGTAAATTGTAGAATATTCTCCAGATTGAAGATTTTTTTTGCAGAGTTTGCTCATTTCAGAGTTAGAGACAGCAGCTAATGAATAACAGAGTTGAAAGTTAACCCACTCACAGCTTTTCTTCAGAAAAATAGGCAAACCTACCTTTTTACTAATAACAAAGCCCACCTCTGTAAAGGGAAAGAAGAGCCTGTGACTGGTAAGTTTTGTTGAACATATGTGTAATGTCACTGCTTAGACTCAGCCTTTGAGCCGTTGTTTGTGTTCCTGGTGCAGCAATTTAAGAGCTTTGGTAAGAGAAGTCAAAGAGAAAGGGAACAAGTGACGAACATGGAGCATCTTGCTGGAAGAACATGGGAGGAATTGAAAGGTGGTGATTGAGGAGCTTTGAAAATCATCATAAGGCTCTCCTAGGCAGGTGTCTTAAAGCCATCCCAGCGCAGTGGCTCTACAGAAAGAGAGATGTTGCTCTAGAAATGTGGTCCTGTCAGATTTGTAGCCCAGATTTCCATGATGTTGTCCTCTACTTACTGCTCTTCAGTACCTAGTGGCGTTGTGTAAATAACACCAACTGCTCTCCATCTCTCGTTGCCTTTCACACTTTCTGCTGTGAAAGATCCAGAACAAACATTTGGGAGATAAATTAAGATTACTTTGGGGATAGAATCAATATAGCAAATACAGAAAAAAAAAAAAGCCGATCTATGGATACTATATTTTTTCTGTGTTTAGCCATGTTTTTAAATTTGGGTACAAAGCTTTTTCATTTTTAGTAGGTGTGGATTTTTGTCAAGCTTTGATGGATTAATTGAAATACATCTCATTTGAAGGGAATATATTTTAGTAAACAGCTTTTGCTGTCATAGTCTTAATTCCTTAGAATTTTCTCTGTGTTACCAGGGTTTCTTTTTTTTGTGATTTTTTTTTTCATGTTTGAAAAGGCATAAATAAATTGAAGAGAAAAAGTTATTCGTGTGGAAAAGGTTCTCTCATGATCATGTTTTTGGGACTCTTTAATATGGCAGTGAGTGAATCTACGGAGCATTCTTTACTTTTGAAGGAAGGAGGGATGCTGTTTTCTCTGCAAAACTTCACTGTTTCTTGTTTTTTTTTTTTTGTTTTTTTTGAGGTGGAGTCTCGCTCTGTCACCCAGACTGGAGTGCAGTGGTGCGATCTTGGCTCACTGCAACCTCCGCCTCCTGGGTTCAAGCAATTGACTGCCTCAGCCTCCTGAGTAGCTGGGATTATAGGCGCCACCACCCCTGGCTAATTTTTGTATTTTTAGTAGAGACGGGGTTTCACCTTGGCCAGGCTGGTCTTGAACTCCTGACCTCGTGATCCACCTGCCTCGGCCTCCCAAAGTGCTGGGATTACAGGCATGAACTTCACATTCTTCATAGCGTATGCTTTTGAACTATTTAGCATACTTTTGTTTTCTTGACCTGTCTCTGGAATCAAAGCACTATCTTCCAAATTCTGTAATATTGGTGACTTGTCTATGTTGCTTTTAGTCTAATCAGTCAATAAAAAGAGGAATGTCAATTGTATATATAACTGTAAAGAGTTTATTTTGTTATAGTAAAATATATATCACATAAAATTTGCCATTTTGACCATTTTTGTAAAGAGTTAACTTTAATTAACCCATTTGTCTTCCACAACCACATTTTTCTTTCTTTCCAATGCTTCCAGAACGTCGTTGTCCAAAGTGACAGAATAACGATTTGATTTTAATTTTGATTTTAGTTTTCAGTAAAAGTAACTCATTATGGGAGTTAAAAGTAGGTCACCAAAAAGTCAGGCCTGAGTAAGCAAAGGGCCAGCTTCAGAATCAATAAGCAAATATATTTCCAGCACTACCGCGTATTAGGTAATATGCTAAAATGTAAAATATATCTGCACATAAGGCATCTTGAACCATTATTTATCTAGGTGGAGAATTATGATAAATTCACATGAAAAATAACAGTAGAAAAAGTGAAGACCTAAAGGGTGGTAAAGATAGTAGGTACTGTTGGAATTCGGGGAAGGGAGGAAATGCAGTGATGAAGGATATGTTGTAGAGGACATGGCTTACAGCTGAGCCTGGAAGGAACCCTAGGCTTTCAATTGAGAGACCTAGGGAGCTTTTTATGCAGGAACAAAGGTACAGAGGCAGGGGATATGTAAGTATTTTTAGAGGCTCAGGATTCATGTCTACATTCTCATCTACTGTTTCTTTCATGATCCACAGAATGCCTTTTTTCTCATGAGTTAGAGCTGGAGAAAATCTGTCGTTGCTGTCACTTCCTGTGAATATGCCACATGTGATAAATCATATTTAATCCATAGTGTATGGTACACAATCATAGTGTTTGGTTTATTTCAAAACAGAAGTCTCTGGTCTCTGTTTCTCTTCTTTCCTTTTAAGTATGCATGTCCCTCGTGATCAGACATTGCATCTATGGTTTTCACCATAGAGTATATATCCTGTGTACAAAATACTCAGTTTAGTAACAGCAATAACAATAACAGCACGGCATGCTTTTTAAGAAAGGCAACAACAACAACAACAACAACCAAACAACTACAAAACAAAAAAGACATTAGTGTAGCTGACTCAGTGCTGTCAGGAGATTCTGAGCTGTGTGCTTTTTACCAGTTCCAGGGATGAGTTTGTGCTGAACCATCTATTCTGTGTCATCTAGTTCCTCTTTCAATCCCTGATACCCGTTCGTGAGATGAGCTAGTTATCTAGGATTATAAAAACAGTGGGTGGCTTGGCCTAGTTTTGTCTCTGAAGACCTAACTGGACAAAATGAAAAACAATTCTTGAGCCTCACTCTCATCAGCTTCACGTTCTAATTACCTTGAAATTTTCGGTCCTTCTATAAAAACAGTAATGTTCTCTTTCAAGGATATACCAGAGATGGAAGAGATGAAATAATTCTGAACAGGTAATAATCTTACTAATTATTATCTGACTTACTGTGCATTCGACAGTGTTTTTGGGTCACAGTTCTTCACAGGGTGCTCTCTGGGTTAGTGGAAATTATTCAAGTGTTAGAATTTAGTCATCTGGGACTCAAAATCTATTACCTTCTGGTTTATGTGAGCTTGCACAAATTACTTAGGTAACTCTGATCATTGGTTTCTTTGTCTATAACAAGAGATTAAGAATAGGACCTACTTCGTGGGGTTGTTTGAAGGATGAAATTCATATATATATAAAGCTCAAGTTATCACTTGATAACCAACGATTTCTTCTTTTTGTCATAAACACTCTCCTAAAAGTCATTCCCTTTGTGCCTTTTATAGCATGAGAAGCTGATACATGAACTGGAAGAGGAGAGACACTTACGCCTTCAAAGCGAGAAGCGGTTGCAGGAGGTGACCCTAGAGTCTGAGCGCAACAGAATTCAGATGCGTGGCTTGCAGCAGCAGTTCTCCAGGTATTGTTCTTAACTGAGCAGATTGCTTCCTGAGGTGCATCTCTCTCTGCACCCATAACACCTTGGATTGAATGTCCATTGCGTAAGCTTCTGTTGTGTTTGATGAGCAATTTACCAACCGTTTAGACCTTCTGTTCTGACGAAAGCATCCTATCGCATCCAGACCAATTTTCTGAAACCGTCCATTTGCACCTGACATGATCTTTATTGAGACTGGTTGTCTTTTCTTTCCTGATGGCTTCCCTAAGGGTCTTCAATTGAGTTGTGGTGACTTTGCAGCCAGTAGGCTTGTCCTTTAAAAGGCCAGCCAAGAGCATGAGATTTCACTGGTCGTCGCAATCCTATTTTAAGACAAAGAGAGGGTATGTGAATCTAACAATTCAATAAGCTCTTCTTCTTTGCTTAGAGGAAACACTAAGGAGTAATTAAAAAAAAAAAAAATCAGTGAGTTCCTGTCCTTAAAAAGATATCACTTAGAACACTTGAATTTCGCCAGGCTCAGTGGCTCACACCTGTAATTCCAGGACTTTGGAAGGCCGAGGTGGGCCGATCACTTGAGGTCAGGAGTTCAAGACCAGCGTGGCCAACATGGCAAAGCCCCATCTCTACTAAAAATACAAAAATTAGCCGAGCGTGGTGGCAGGTGCCTGTAATCCCAGCAACTCGGGAGGCTGAGGCAGGAGAATCACCTGAAGTCAGGCGGTGGAGTTTGCAGTGAGCTGAGATTGAGTCACTGCACTCCAGCCTAGGCAACAAAGCGAGATTCTGTTACCAAAAAAAAAAAAAAAAAAAAAAAAAAATGAGGGGGGAGAGAGAGAGAAACAGATCACTAGAATTTGAAAGGAAGATTCTGAAAAAGTAGTTCCTAGATTTAATTCTAGCAGTTGGAATCTTTCAGTTTCCAATTATAGTTAATATGGGGGCAGTTGATGGTTCAAACTATTATATTAAAGTCCCTTCAATTCCATGGGAGGAATCCCCCAGAAAATTGTGCATTTACAGCCCTGGGACCAGATATCGGCACCTTGTGAAGGACAATCTGTGTTCATTTCTATACTTCACCATTTATAAAATCAGGAAAATAATTTGTTTCACTTTTCTCCCCTGAGATTATCCCAGGCAGTATCCATGTTTGAGAAGTTGCCCTAAAATCCTCATGAACAAACTGTGTGGGTCTTGTCTTTAACTTTTCACTGGGATTTGGAGAACACTGTGACTGGTGATAGATAAGATAGCTTTGTCATTATGAAGTTTTTATAATGACAGCTTAATTTTTAGATGTGTTGCAGGGAGAGAACAAACACAGTTGAGCCTCCAGATAATTTACCTCATTATGGCCAATACTATATATGTGCTTCAACTTTGGTGTAGGGGTTCGTGGAGGAACAGGACAAGAAGGATGGATGACTCCTGTGTGGTCAGCATTATAATTTAACACCCTGTTCAACACCTGAAGCCCATGATAATACACAGGTGCTGTAGAAAGGCACCAATCAATACTTTAATAAATGCATGTCCCCACCCCTCATAGGCTATTACTTATATCACCTTATGCTCGATTTTTCATTCAGTTTGATGGCAACTCTCCCTTTGTGTCTCCTAACCAACTTAAAATAATAGATCCACCCCTCCAAAGTGAATTTAAAATAAGCACTGCTTGGTAATATTGGTTGTTTTAATGGCACAGGATAGGAGGAGGCAGATCTTGCTCTCCTTGCACTGTCTAATTGAGATGTCTCTATATTCAAGCTATTGATTTAGGTGGCAGGAGACACATGGCGTAGTAAATTATATTCATATGATGCCGGGTCATCTGCTGTAAATCAGATGCCAATCCCATACAGATTTCAGTTACACAAGAGTCAAGACTACATCCTGGGCTGAAAGAGAAGATAATTATGTGTACAATAAATAGTGGCTGGTTTTTACATACTTCTTTTGTAAGGGATTTTTATCCTATTATAATTGGTTTTCTCATGTAAAGTGTCACTGAAACTGAAAAGTTCAAGTCCGGAGAACTAATGTAAATCAGTAAAAGACATGGAGGGGAAAAGCATGTGTAACAGATAATTACACAATAATTTGAGCAGACCCACTGAACCATTTCTGATGGCCTTCCACAGTTTAAACTTTGGTTTTTAAGGTATTTCTAGTTATGTTTAAATAATCTTAGTAAGTCTTTGAAAAATTCTCAATATTATAGAATAAGCCTTTATTGCATCACCCTTGGACGGGGTTAGCATCCAATATGGTCATCTAAATAATTTACATAATATAAACGATTCTATTGAATTAGAAACTTTTATATTCATAATTTTCTTCTTTTTTTCTCTTGGATCGATGAGTTCATTTTGTGCATGATGATATCTGGGATGTGGAGTTACTTTTGAACATTGTTCATGGGCTGAGGTTACTTTTAAAAACTAAGCTAATAACCACTTTCTCAAAGAATGTGGTATGGTTTACAATAAAAGGTAGATTTACAATAGGGCTGATAAAATAAAAACAAAATAAAGGTCATGAAAGGAGAACGTGACAAGTTATCACCTTCGCATAGCCCAAGAAGTTTTCTGAGTATGAGCATGTAATTTAGCTCTAAGATTCCTGGCAGACAAGATCAAAAGGAAAAAAAAAAAAAAAGAATATGTAATTATTATCTCATGGCCAAAGGCTACTACTCCTTAAAGAGAGGAATATTGTCTCTGTTAATCAATTCATAATAGAATGTATCACATAGAACACTTCATAGAAGACACTGAAGGATACAGTAGACATGGTCCAAAATGGTGCAAATTAGGATTAATTCTTGCAAGGGCTACTGCTTTCACTGTGTCACTTATATCTGGAAAGTTAAGCTGTTTTTCAAGGTCCTAATATATGGAATAAGAATGCTGAGTCGTGTCTAAGAGATCACAAGTGAAATAAGAACTACTCCAGTACTCTGATGCTTAAAGTTCTCAAGTCAACCATTATACCTCAGTTTCACAGGAACCTCCTGATATATACATGTGCCTTTCTAATACTATGAATGTGGGAAACAGAGGCATAAGATGCTGAGGCCTGGCCTGGGCTGGGTGACATGTTTTCTTGCTATGTTTGATGACCTTGTAGGCATGGGAGCCTCTAAACAGTAGTTACAGGATTCCAAGTCTCAGCTTCAGTAACAAGGTGAGTCAATGGAGGGAGGAGCGGATAATGAAGTTCGATGCTGGGACAGTTAGGTACACATGGGAAGCAGAGTTCAGGTGTCAGGATGAGTGATTCAGGAGAGGTAGTCCAAGGCTTAATTTTATGCAGTTTCAGCTATGTGATGAGCCTGACGGCTTGAAGGCACCAGGCAAGCCTGAACATTTGTGATTGTCTCTATTAATGAGTAATGGGATCACTGAGGTGATAAAAATCTATACAAATGCTTGAATGAGTAGTTCCTTTTTATATCACCACCAAACCTTCAGCCACAGTCCCTTCTTCCCTCTTGACCTCTGATTAGGCTATAATGATCAGAAATGGTCCAAAGTTTAGGCAATAAAAAAAAATTGGATATGCCGCCAGAGGTTACCTAATCAGCTCTAAGCTCATAAATCAGAAATTCCCTACATCGAGGGTGATTCAGACAGGCATAACAAACTTGGTTCGGACCATTTACATTCTTTAATGTAAATATGGAGAAAAAAAGATACTTGCAAATTAAACCTTCTTCACAGTTGAGAGAGCACTTCAATAAGGTGGTAGTTAGAAGTAGGTGGTGATATCTTAGGGCTGCCGCTTTATCTTATTATTTGGTGATTTACATCAAAAGTGCTCCAGATGTGAAAGTGGTTGTTTCACCCATTGTCTGTGTGGCTGGGCATATTTATGAGGGATTAGATTTGTAACTGTCTCAAATTCCAAATTCTCCCCACTCTCCCCATTCCTCTAACTGCTTGTTTGAATTGTGCCAAGGTGAATGCTGTAGATGAGACTATGGAACTGTCTTCCCTTGTATGTAAAGACAATCACTGTTTGGACCCCTGGATTTATTATCCCTGTTGAGGTAATGCAGTGTTTGTGTGTCAGTTAGATTCACCTCGAGGAGCACTTTCAGGAATATTGTCTCCAAGCTAGGTGGGGGATGTTGAGTTGAAATAGCAGTGATTTACTTAAAAAAAAAAAAAAAAAAGGAGAGTAATAGGATCACTTAGGTGATAAAATGAGGAGATAAGCAACTCTACAGAGTACTGATTTCGTATATGTAATTGTGCATACCATGCATGATTTGCATAGGTGTCTCTGTTGGTCCCTTTGGAAATAATCTAATCAACTTGTAGATGATGATGAGGAGGATTATTGAGACAGGGTCTGGCTGAGGTTCCCCAGGCTAGAGTGTGGTGCAGTCTCAGCTTACTGCAACCTACCTACAGGTGCATGGCACCACGCCTGGCTAATTTTTGTAATTGTGGTACATGAAGTTTTACCATGTTGCCCAGCCTGGTGTCAAAATTCTGGGTTCAAGTGATCCTCACACCTCAGCCTCCTGAAGTGCTGGTGAGCCACCATGCCAGGCCCAATTTGTAGATTATTAATGAAAGCTGCTGTTTTCAACAGGAAACAAACACTTTTGTTGTGTGCCTAGTAACACCGTATGGGCCCCCAAAAAAGTAGAATTCAGATAGAGAAGTCTGATGTACATATATGAACATAACAACATATTTGTAGCTTAGCTGTAAATAAAGAGGACTTCTGTCCGGATTCAGAACAACCAGACTTCATACTTCCTAATGGTTTAGTATGCTGAGGCGTGGATAGTCAGGTGAAATTAATGATTGCATAGTGACAACAATAATAATACACATTTTTATTGTGTCACAGCTCTGTACTGCAGCATGTTGGAAATTTAAATTAAAATTGATCTGGCAGATTTAGCACCTGGCAGACATAATTTGTAAACGTTCTTAGCAAACCATATTACAACCCAAGTATCAGGAATCAAGATACTTGATTTCAGGCCTCTTCAGCCTTGA